ACACAATCAATCAAATAAACCAACAAACTAACACACAATCAATCAAATAAACCAACAAACTAACACACAATCAATCAAATAAACCAACAAACTAACACACAATCAATCAAACAAACCAACAAACTAACACACAATCAATCAAATAAACGAATAAACAAACACACAAGCAATACACCAGCAAACAAACAAACAAACAAGCGAATGTTCCTACAATCGAGTTCCTCATTGCGCTGTAGCTGTTGTTAAAGTCGCATTATTTCAGACCAAGTTTGTTGCTGGGATGTTTCGTTTTGTTTGTTTGTTTGTTTGTTTATTTTTCTCATGTACATATTATTATTACTACATAAATTTTATGTTAATACATATAATTTATATTATAGCGGAGGAAGTCCTTGTGAATGAAGGAAGCCATCTTTGATTTCGTGCAGGGGTGACTGTAATTTGCGAGTTTTTTGTTCCTGTGTTTAATACTTCATATTTTCCATATCAACAGTGTTTTGCTCTAAGTGTGAAAATGTTTTATTGACAATTCTTCTATTGTTTAGTACGGTTTTGCTGCTCTTGTAACACAATAAGGTCTTATAAGTGTCGAGGCATTTCTTCAAGAGGCAAAAAAGGACAAATATTCTGATGTTTAAATGACATGAAAAGACACACGCGGTAGCTTTCAGTCATCATCAGTGCCTCTCTCACACTGGAGCAAGGTATAGGACACGAACAAACACTTTCAACTTTTCCCTATCCTGGGCTAGCTTCTAGATGTTATTCCATGCTTTCCCACTCTTCTGTACATCAATCTCTGTGACTCTTCTCCAAGTTCTACGTGGTCTCCCTCTTGATATTTTACCCTGTAGATTCCAACCCAACGCTTTCCTTCTTATTAATATGCAGCTGCCTGACTTCTTGAGAGTATGTCTTATCCATCGCCATTTCCCTCGTCCTACCTCATCTCTGACTTAGCTTTCAGGGCTTTTACACTATTCATAGCACGGCATGCTGGCTCCTGGTTTTATTAATTTAGCTAAAGCAGATTGATCACGGAGATAGTTTTAGTGCGTGAAAACAGTTGGCCTGTTTCTTCCAGTTAACGTTGTAGGAGCATAACACCATCGAGATATTGTACGTCTTTGGCATTCTCATTTGAGGTAGATTAAGAAATATTATATACATGTACTATACAGTGGGAATCCATTTAAAGGGACCGCCTTTTAATCTGAAAACAGCGGTAAATCGAACGAAAATGAAATGTGAGGCAGCGTGGTGGAATCAGGCTCTCGTCAAAATAATCAAAGTGAAGAAACTTGCATTTTTCCGCAGGTTTGTGAATTTTTATCAAATCTTTGGTTTTTGGCTCAACACCTTTCATGCCCATTAAAGAACTCATTTCTGTGTGGGTTTTTCTAAAAAAAACGTTGATTAAAGGAACAAAAAATGTAAATTTTCAGTAAACCACGGACTCTTAAACTAAGAAAATAACTAATCTTTGGCGGCCATTTTCGCACTAATTTTACCTCTGAAAACAGGTGACCCCACCTCCCTCGTTCGCAAATATCTCGACTTGTATTCAAGATGAATGGATATTTTTTTCATCCAAATAAAGAAAAGTGAACAAGCTTTAAGATTGGCGCTCATGTGACCTTATGCAGTTGCGAGCGCCGTAAAACCATCTACTATAAAACAAAAAAGCTTTACGATGATACCAATAACTCTACTTGCCCAAAAATTGCCGAGAGCCTGATTCCACCACGCTGCCTCTCAAATATTTGAGCAACCTTTCTAAACCGAAAACTCTGCTAAGCGGAAACAATCCGACGGTCCCACCGATTTCGGTTTTTTAGCGGACCCCACAGTATAAAAGGTAGTTTTTATTTATTGTAACGTCG